TTTTTTTTTTAATCATTACACAATGTAAACATTTTTTGTGGCCCTTTACCAATTTTTCCCCCTCCCCCTTTTCACTTCTGGCGGCTGCAGCTCCATTCTCTCCTTTTGAAAGTTCAAGGATTATTGTGATTGTGGCATCTTTCTTACAAGCTTTATAATATACTTTGAAATCAGGGAGTGTGATGCCTACTGCTTTGTTCTTTTTGCCCAAGATATCTATGGCTATTCAGGGTTTCTTCGTGATTGCATAGGAATTTTAAGATAGTTTTTTCTTCTTCTGTGAAAAATTACATTGGAATTTTAATAGGAACTGCATTGAACCTGTAGATCACTTTGGGTAGTAGGGACATTTAAAACATATTACTTTTTTCAATATATGAACATAGGGTATTTTTCTATTTAATTGTCTTCTTCAAATTCTTTCATCAGTGTTTTATACTTTTCAGTGTAAAGATCCTTCATCTCCTTGATTAAACTTACTAAATATTTTTTTATGCTATCGTAAATGAGATTGTTTTCTTAATTTCTTTTTCTGATAGTTTGTTGTTAGTATACAGAAATGCTACTAATTTTTGTATGTTGATTTTGTAACCTGCTACTTTACAGAATTTTTTTCAGTTATAACAGCATTTTGGTAGACTCTTTAGGGTTTCCATATAATATCATGTCATCAGTGAACATACAATTTCTCTTCTGTTTTTCCTATATGGATACCTTCTATTTCTTTTTCTTGCCTAATTGCTCCTGTTAGAACTTCTAGTGAGCATTCTTATCTTGTTCCTGATCTTAGAGGAAAAGCTTTCAACTTTTCACCATTGAATATAATGTTAGCTGTGGGGTTGTTATATATGGCCTTTATTGTGGGGAGATATATCCCTTCTATATGTATTTTTTGAGAGTTTTTAATATGAACAGATGTTGGACTTCGTCATATGCTTTTACTGCAACTACTGAGGTGATCGTGTGGTTTTTGTCCTTCATTTTGATTATATAATATATATGTTGAACCATCTTTGCATCCTTGTAAATCCCACTAGACCATGATGAATGATCTTTAAATGTGCTGTTAAGTTTAATTTGCTAGTAATTTGTTGATGATTTTTGCATCTGTATTCAAGGATATTGGCCTGGAATATCTTTTTTGATATCTTCACTTTTAGTCTATGTGTGTCCTTAGAAGTGAAATAACTTTTGCAGGCAGCATACAGTTGAGTCCCTTCATTTTCTTTTCTAGTATATCCTCATCTGGCTTTAGGATCAGAATAATACTGGCCTCATAAAATGAGTCTGGAAATATTCCCTTTTTAAAAATTATTTGGAAGAGTGTGAGGACTGGTATTAGTTCTTTAAATGTTTGGTAGAATTCAGCAATGAAACCATCAGGTCCAAGGCATTTCTTTGATGGGAGACTTTTTATTACTGATTCAATCTCCTTACTCATTATTGGCTTGTTCAGGTACTTTATTCTTTCCTGATTCACTCTTGTTGCTTTGCATGTTTCCAGGAATTCATCCATTTCTTCTAAGTTATCCAATTTGTTGGTGTCCTTGTTCACAATAGCCTCTTATGATCCTTTGTATTTCTGTGGTGTCAGTTGTAATGTCTCCTCTTTCATTTCCGATTTTGTTTATTTCAGTCTTCTCTCTTATTTTCATTGTTAGACTAGCTTAAGTTTTGCCTATTTTGTTTATCTTTTCAAACAACCAACTTTTAGTTTTATTGATCTTTTCTATTGTTTTTCTAGTCTATATTTTGCTCATTGCTACTGTGATCCTTATTATTTCCTTCCTTCTGCTAAGTTTGGGCTTACTTTGTTCTTTTTCCAGTTTCTTGAGGTCTAACATTAGGTTGTTTATTTGAGATCTTTCTTTTTTTTTTTTGTCTTTTTTCATGTCCAGCAACGGATCGCAACCATCAGTGTCGCGCCCATACCGGACTGGGACCGGCAACGGGATCGCAACCCTCGGTGTTGCGCCCTCACCTCGCTCAGCCAGTGAGCGGGAACTGGTCTGTATGTGGGATCCGAACCCTCAGCGGGAGCGCCACTGCGCTCCCATGTGGCGCACTGTAGCAGTGCGCCACCGGGCTGGCCGAGATCTTTCTTTTTGATGTAGGCATTTATTGCTATAAACTTTCCTCTCAGGACTGCTTGTGACGCACTGTAGCAGTGCGCCACCGGGCCGGCCGAGATCTTTCTTTTTGATGTAGGCATTTATTGCTATAAACTTTCCTCTCAGGACTGCTTTTGCTGCATCCCATAAGTTTTGATATGTTGTATTTCCATTTTTGTTTGTCTCAAGATATTTTTTAATCTCTCTTTTAATTTCTTTTTTAACCCATTGATTGTTCAGGAGCATTTAGTTTAATTTATCAGTTTTCCAAAATTTCTCTTGATATTGATTTCTATCTCATGACATTGTGGTTAGAAAATATACTTGATATGATTTCAGTCTTCTTAAATTTGTGAAATCTTGTTTTGTGGCCTGATATGTGATTTATCCTAGAGAATGGTCCAGGTGCACTTGAGGAGAGTATGTATTCTGTTTCTATTGGATGGAATGTTCTGTAAATATCTATTGGGTCCATTTGGTCTAAACTGTATGTAGTTCAAGTCTAATGTTTTCTTATTGATCATCTGTCAGGTGATCTGTCCAATGTTGAAAGTGTTGAAGTCTCCTACTATTATTGTATTGCTGTCTATCTCTTCCTTCAGATCTATTAATATTTATTTTCTATATTTGGGTACTCCAATGTTTGAGTGCATATATATTGACAGTCATTAAAACTTCTTTACAAATTGACCCCTTTATCATTATATAATGACTTTCTTTGTCTGTTTTTACAGTTTTTGACTAACAGTCTATTTTGTCTGATATAAGTATAGCTACCCCTGATCTATTTTAGCTTCCATTTGCATGGAATATCTTTTTCCATACTATCAGTTTTTCCATACCTTCATACTTCACTAGTCTATTTGTGTCCTTAGAGATGAAGTGAGTCTCTTATAGGCAGAAACAGTTGGGTCTTGCTTTTTATCCATTGAGCCACTTGATATCTTTTGGTTGGATAATTTAATTTATTTACATTTGAAATATTTTTTTATTTTTTTAACTTTTCATTTTTTATTGAAATGCACTTATTGTACATATTTATGGGGTACAGAGTTGTATTTCAATACATGTATACAATGTGTGATGATCAGATCAGGGTAATTAGCATATTCATTAAAGGTAATTAGCATAATTTTCCTTTCTTGTAATGATCTTATCTGGTTTTATTATCAACTTTATGCTGACTTCTTTGTCAGTTTTATCCTTTTATTCCCCTTTTATTAACCTGTTAGTTATATATTCTTTTACTATTACTTAGTAGTTATCTTAGACATCATGACATGCACCCTTGGCTTATTATCATGTTACCTTGTCCCCAGTAATGCCAAACCTTCAAATACTTTCACTTTACCCACCCCCATCTTTTGCATTATCATTGTCATGCTATTAGTTTTATATATATCTAAACTCCACAAGGCATTATTAGTGTTGATGGTTTAGCACAAAACTCACGGCTGGAGAAGAGTTCAGGAGTTCACTGAGTCAAGACATGCACAAAGCCTTCCTTCAGCTGCCTTAGAGAGAAAGAGCGGTTCTGTCTGGGATGGTTAAAGTCTCCTTGAAAAAACTGGTCTAGCCAAGAAATGGCTTAGCTGGAACCTGGCTGCAGGGAGGTGCCCTGGGAAAGAAGAGCACTGCCTGTAAGAGCGAAGAACTTTCTATAGTGATTAAGAGGTATGAAGAGATCTGCTAAAGAGAGGTTTTGAAGATCTGGTGAACTGCTCACAAGAAATTTGGGATGAGGTTGAAGTTATTAAACCACAGAACCATAGAATGTTAAGGAACTCTAGAGGTGATAGAATTCAACTCCTTGTTTTGCAGGTAAATAAATGGAAACCCACAGAAGTGAAGCAGTTGATTTGAGCTCAAACTGTAAAATACTGGCAGAGCTGCAAGAAGAATCCATTTCTCCCCCCTCATTTTGCTGATTTAAATATAAAAGTCTCACTAGAGGATATTGTTTATAAACCTCTGCGTAGTTTTTTTAATATAAGTATGTAACCTAAAAATTTTATATATATTTACTGAAATGATTGCTAACGTTATGAATTTGTTTATTCTGTGCATTTGTATACAATTAGCCCCTAAGAACTCGGAGGAGCAATCCAGTAGATTAAATCATCGATCATTTTTCAGATATGAGAGGCTGAAGGAGGCTGCTGGGTTGGAATGGTTGGGGTCAGAGCTCGTGATAAAGAAATTACACTTCCCGTAATAACTTCGTATAGCATACATTATACGAAGTTATACGACAAAGGTGAAGAAGGGAGAGGAAGTGCTTGTAGGGAAGATTTTACAAGTAGTTTGGGAACCCAAAGGAGGGGCTCCTCAAAATAACATGGTTAAGATCAGCCCTCAGAACAGTGACCTCAGGCCCTCCAAGCCCAACATGCCAATGAATGAGATTATTCTTATGTTTCCCAGCTGTCATATGGGCTAAAAGATCAATTGATGGATGAGTGGTTAAGCCAGCTCTGTGGTTAAGCATTTGTAATGGTTCTTGCCTAGTTCTTCCAGCCATTTCAACAAATGAATTGGATTGAACACGTGGCAGTTGATCAGCGGTTCAGCGCTCAGCCTTTGCCACACACATGACACCTGGAATACAGTGGTCACCTGCGCCTGTGACACAGGCTCTTCTGGAGCTTCTGGTACTATTAATTCCCTTCACAAAGCCCATAGGGAAGAACATTGCATTTCTAAGAATTACGTGCAAAATTATTCAGATGCTGATGGATTTTACAGTAAAAGATTCACACATTTGTAAAAACTAAATTGAGGAACCATCCAGAAGAGAGTATTTGTCTTCTCCAGAAATATATTATGATGTCTTTTGAGATCACAACCTCAATTGCATTATTTTGCTTCTAGACACCTCCAATAACTTACCATTATCTATCAATTTCTGTAGAAAGTCTTCTTGTTATGCATGATCCTTTACAATATATTCCAAACCTGTCTTCCGAGACCGGTGTCCTTTTAGAGTCGCATCTAGACTTGCACGGTCACCTTATCTTCTCAGATTGCATGTAGAACCGGGTTTCCATGTGTTTTGTGTTGTTTTATTTGTTTTGTTTTGCAGAGGGGGAGGCAGGAAGAGCTACAACTTGCATCATATTCTAGACAGAGTGAAGGTACCCAAGGAAATTAAAGAACTGTTGCTCAAGGCCAGGAGTCTGTGAATTTGAATGCAAAAAGGTGCATCTTTTTTACTAATCTCTAATTTCTTAATGGATTTTAGCATTTCTTTTGATTGTGAATGTAGGCAACAAAGTACATAATTCATTGCAGTAACTATGATTTTGTTATCAATAGGAATTACAGATGTTTTCCTATCACACCACCCATATGGCAGATATCTCAAAATATCACACATACTCAGTAGTACTTCAAAATTATGAGAATTCTTGGACCTGCCACTAGATCTGTTTATCTAATGCATTAATAGAAAAGCATATGCATTATTTATTATATACCACAATTTTAAAATATTTACTTTGGTGACTTTTAAACATAATTTGTTTTACATTTTTTAGGCAATTAAAAATATTAATCTACAAAGACATCATTCATAGACTTTACCATATTGCCAAAGAGGACACAACTATCACAACAATTCCTTGAACTTGTTAAGACAAGTGAACAGATGAGATGTAGTGGTGGGGAAAGGGGAGAGAGGGAAGGGGGAAAGAGAAACAGGTAAAGAGACACAAAAATCGACTACAATGTAATTTGAAAAGTTAAAATAAAATAAATAAATAAACAAAAATAAAATGTTAGAAATCAAATAGAGTGTGATGCAAAATGCTTTACCTTTGAGACAGCCTTGAAGAGTACTTAGTATGATGGAATCAAATCCAGTGTGGCCAGACACCATCTGCTCAAGACTCGAGGAGTCACATGTCACGGTTTCCCATGGCCTCTTGAGGCCCAGCTCACTAGGAAAGAGAGACACTCCCACCCTCCTCCATGAGGATCAGGAATGGACCCCCCCACACAGCTCTCTCCAGGGAAATCCTTGACTTAACCTTCAGCCTCTTTTGTGGCCTCTCCAACAACACAGCTCTCTCCAGGGAAATCCTTGACTTAACCTTCAGCCTCTTTTGTGGCCTCTCCACCATGTTGTAGACAGGGGTGGGTGGTCAGCCAGGGTCTCCACCACATACTTAAATGTCAGCCAAGGAGGCTGAGAGAGCGCCTGGCTTCAGTACGAGAGAGACTTGACACCTATTTCAGTGGGGCTCCAGCCAACTCCGAGACAGCATCCCCTCGTAGGAGATCCTGCAGCATAGACACACACTCCCACACTCACGCACACGCACACACTTACACACACTCACATGCACACACAGTCACACACACTCTCACATGCACACACACAGTCACACACACTCTCACATGCACACACACAGTCACACACACTCTCACATGCACACACACAGTCACACACACTCTCACATGCACACACACAGTCACACACACTCTCACATGCACACACACAGTCACACACACTCTCACATGCACACACACAGTCACACACACTCTCACATGCACACACACAGTCACACACACTCTCACATGCACACACACAGTCACACACACTCTCACATGCACACACACAGTCACACACACTCTCACACATGCACACACATACAGTCACACTCACATTCACACACATGCACACACACACGCACTCACACACACTCACAAACACTCACTCACACACACACTCACACACTCACGCACACGCAGCCAGAGATCCCAACCAACTATTCCAGACGGCAGGAGCCACCAGGACGTCTTAGGCAATCGTAC